AAAGAAATCAAATGACAAATTGCATTGGGCAAATCTGCTCCAAGGGACATCTTTAGAGTGTTAAAAAGCAAAAATGTCACTTTGAGTACTAAGGTGCACCTGACCCAAGCCATAGTCTTTTCAGTCATCTCATACTCATGTGAAAGCTGGACAATGAATAAGGAAGACCAAAGAATTGATGCATCTGAATTATGGTGTTGGTGAAGAATATTGAATATAGAGTGGACTGCCAGACAAATGAACTGTCTTGATCTGTCTTGGAAGAAGTACAGCCAGAATGCTCCTTAGAAGCAAGGATGGCGAGACTTCGTCTCATGTACTGTGGACATGTTATATCAGGAGGGACCAGTCCCTGGAGCAGGACATCATGCTTGGTAAAATCGAGGGTCAGTGAAAAGAGGAAGACCCTCAATGAGATGGATTGACACAGTGGCTGCAACAATGGGCTCAAACATAGCAATGACTGTGAGGATGGTGCAGGACAGGGCAGTATTTCGTTTTGTTGTACACAGGGTCGCTATGAGTCGGAACTGACTGGACAACACCTGACACAACAACAGTGCTGGCCTCCCAGCCCCTGTCTAAAGCCTGCTCCTCACTTCCAGGCCCGCTCCAATCAGATGCTTAGCTTTCTCCAGCAGGACAGTTGGCTGATGTCTGGCATGTCCAGCTATCAATAGCTTCCAAACCCTAAGTTTAAGAACTTCAGATCATTGAGTGTTACTTCTCGAAAGGTTTCCAAAAGACCCACCAGTTTATGTGTGTGTGTGTGTGTGTGTGTGTGTGTGCATGTGTGCATGTCTGTAGATATATTTATTTATATTATTCTAAATCTTTAGCCCTATTAAGCCACATGTGACCTGAACTTGATTTATAGCTATGGACACATGATATGTCCAATTAAACTCTGTTTTACATCTTCTCTATAGGTAACCAACGGTTGTCTCCCTGGCTGGTGCACACAGTTAAATGCTCGACTACTAGCCTAAAGGTTGACAGCTTGAACCCATCCAGAGGCACCTTGGAAGACAGGACTGGCTGTCTGCTTCTGACAAGTCACTTGAATATCCTATGGAGCAGTTCTACTCTGCACACATGGGGTCACCATGAGTTAGAGTGGACTCAATGACAACTAATAGCAACAACCAGTGGTTGATATTTTAACTTATTTCCCTCCCCTCTTTGTACAAGTCTTTCAAGGAGTTTCTACATGAGCGATTATAGAAACTGCAATGACCTAATATCTCTTCTGATGTCTCCCAGCTACAGATGGAGCTGGAGCAAGAGTACCAAGACAAGTTCAAAAGGCTGCCCCTGGAGATTCTGGAGTTCGTGCAGGAAGCCATGAAAGGGAAGATCAGTGAAGACAGCAATCACAGCTCTGCCCCTCCCTCCCAGGCCCCAGACCCCGGAAAACTGAACCACAAACCTCCCTCTAGTGAGGAGTTAGAAGGAGACAACCAAGGAAAAGAGTTTGATACTCCTCTGTGATTGTTCCTTCTAGGCCTTCAGAACAGACATGGCCACTCAACCTCCATCAGACTTGCTCTTATTACAAAGATCACTGCCCAGGAGCATCTTCCTGAGACGCATCCCTTAACCTAAAGTCCATCCCAAAGGGAGCATTCTGGAAGGATCCACGCAGAGGTCCCTCCAGCCAGGCTCCATGCATTATGTGGAGACTGTTGCAGGTCTACTAGTGGAGAGTGCATGTATATGAGGTTTTCGTTTTCTTTGCAATAGTAAATTCAAAGTAGGCAACTTCCAGGCTCCATGGAAGATTTAATGAAGGACAGTGTCTTCTTTGAAGAAAATCGGGCTCATGTTTTTATCTGAAGCTCTGGTGTGTGACGTATTTCAAAGTAATAGAAATAATTTGAGAAATGCATAGCACTATTTAACACTATTGACCAGACAACTTTGAGCATTTTTTTTTCCTAACTGCCCCTCAACGACCATATCTTCAAGTTCATGTGCGTATTAGGTTGTCTCATCCTTTGCTTTGCAAGCACTGGTGGCTTGCAGTTTGCTAATTTATTTATCATAGAGGCATCAGCGTATTTGTTGCTGACATGGCTTTATTAGATACTGTAGTGACTCAAATGAGCTGGTGTTCTTTTTTGAAAAAATCACTTGATTGTGTCCATGCCCAGCGAAGCCATCCCAGGACTTGGCAATAGGTTTGTAAATTTGGCTGCATGAGCAAGTTGGCTGCCCACTTACAGGCAGTATGCTATCTGAGTTGACTATTTGCACTTGAAGTCTGGGTATTCATTGGTTGTTGGCCTGAAATGATCAAATACTTACAAAGAGTCTGTTCTGTTGAATAAAAATAGTTGAGCTGATGTATGTTGAGCAGAGATTCAATCAGAGTGAACAGGCTCCAGTGACTATTTTGCTGTCTGGCATTTTTTATGTTCCATTTATTTTTAATATAGAGAAGATTGAATATTTATCTAAAGAATACACAGACCCACATATAAATGATATATATTGTCTCCATGTATGAATGTATGCACTCAACCACATAAGTGCATATGCACACACACACACACAAGTTTAATTGTGTGTTTACTAATTGGCAGCAACCCAATCTCATCCACAAGACTTAAAACCAAATTAAGGGATAAATGAGTAGAGAAGAAAAGAGTCAAACGTCTAGATTACATGGATATTACATTTATTAAAATAGTTGACGGAGCCGGTGATGCAAGTTGAGGTAGATTTAGAATTTAGAATATGAATTATATATATATTTTGCAGGATCAAAAATTTAATTTTAAGAATGAGTTTATAAGCTTGTTTTAATGGTCAGAATGCACAAAAATATATAGGACAGCAATATGGAAATTTATTAGTAGAGGCCATAATTTTTAAGTCTGCTAGACTTCAATTTTATTCTAACATAAAAAAAATCTTTCATTATATATTTTGTATGTACATTTAATTCATTTATATGTGTCTGTTCATTAAGTTCTTATTTTAAGTGGCATAAGAGAAACCAGTTATATCATGGTAACACTGATCAAAAACATATTGCAAGGTTTTTAAGTCAGAGAGGATAATTACACACAGGAAAAAGTAATTTAGAGAGCACCAAACAGAACATTACAGTGAAAGCCCAGAAGCAAGATGCTCACAGCTTTATTTTACTTCAAAGTAAACCTGCCTGATGGTAGCTGAGCCAAACATTTTAAAACTCAAAAAGCAGTTGTGTCCTGAAAATTGTGTTTCAAAAATTTAATATTTTTATGAAAATTATTTTATTTAACTTTAAGCAATAACTAGGGATCACAATTAAGAGTTAATCAAAATGAAAGTTTAGTTCAAACATTAGGAAAGAGTGTTTGATTAAAAAAACACATTTAGTGAGACCCAAGGGGGAAATCAGATCCCCTTTGGAGATGATTATATTTTGATCTGAAAGGTTTAGGGTGTTAATTAGACACTTAATAAAGCTTAACTTCCACTGAAAGAGGAATCTTTAGTAAATCATTCTACCTTTGCACTTTGGAAGAAAGGCATTAATCATAGAGAAGCAAGAATGGTCAGAACTGAATGCTGCATTTTATAAACAAATTTACAGACTGTCTAAAATGGCAGAAGAATGAAAGAATAATAGCATTCATAACCAAACACAATGGTGATTATTGCAGAACATTGTATCACATTTTAGACCAGAAATAGACTATGGTTAATAACCTTGATTTACATAAAACTGTTTTGGTAGTTGCATTTCATTATCTTAGTGACTCTAGTCATTTTACAATATGTTTGTGTTTGGCCATTTCCTGTAATCACATTTTTATATCTGGACAATGACACTTTTTGCAGTTGTGGGGTAGTGTGTAACACTGTCCATCTTGCATCATTGAAACTACTACAGTAATACTATCATTTAATAATATTTAACATTACTTGAAATAGACTAAGATAAAGGGTATATATGATGTGCAGTTTCGTGCCTTTATGTATTTGCCTTGTTCTTTGTTGAATGTGTGAAATTCTGTACTGTGGTTTCTCCTATAATAGAGAGTAGAGCTGTGTATTAAATTAGACTGTTCCCCCTCTGATATCTTTACACTACTGAGAACAGCATGGTTTTTTGGCCGTGTAAACCAGTTTCCAGAGTTCTAATGACATGCCATATGTTTTTTGGTTTTTAACATTTTCATGATCATCATACATTAAGTAATACTCATGTAGTAGATAAGCAGTCATTAAATAATTCCGAAAGAAAGGGCCATTGCTTGCTTTACTTTGAATTTAATGTTGCGCTTGTGCACTGTATCAATATTGTTTGTGATGGATTGGACGTTGTGACTTTTACCTTTTAAGAAAAAAAAAAAAAGATAGGACAAAGTATTTGAAGCTCTTAAAATGTACATATTTTTGTTCTTCTATCTCAAATTATTTAAAATGCATAATTCACATTTTTGTAATAATTCTATGCAATTTTGTGGCATGATGTTTCTTCCACTTGTAATTTTATGTGCTTTCATCACAAATCCAAAGGAAACAATAAAAATTTCTTAACACAACCAAGCTGTTATTTCTTGGTGTCAGAGCCAATCTTCTTTTGATGGGCAGGAGGGTGGGAGCAGGCCTAACGCCAGTCTTTAGGGCCTAATGCCCACCGTGACTGAGCCCATCGGTGCCTGTGGAGGAGATTGGGAGGCTGCTGTGCTGTGCCAGAGGGCACAGTTGTCATTACTCTGTCATTCCACTACCCTCCATCCAGGAGTGGCATTGCACTTGCCCATTACTCCTGTAATGGAGACCCTCCCTTCCTTTCTCCTTTTCTCCCTTCCTTCCTCCTTTGACCAAAGCTAAGGAAGGCAAAACAGTCTGATTTTCAAAGGCTTTTTGACAGTGGAAATAACAAGGGTTGAAAGAATACTTGATGTTAAGTTTTCTCATAAAACAGTTTTTAAAATCTGCAACATTGATAGAAAAAGAAAAAAATGGATAATTTCTATGAGAATGTCCGAGGAGCACCCCAAAGGCCGTGTATTAGTTGTCTATTGCTATGTAACAAATTACTCCAAAACCTAATGGCTTAAGACAATAAGAAGTCTCTTATCCCTCATAGTTTCTGTGGGGCAGGAATTCAGACAAGGCACAGTAGAGTTGTGACTCTTATCTCTGCTCCGTGATGTCTGGCTCCTCAGGTGGATGTTTAGAAGCCTGAGGCTGGAATCATCTGAAGACTAATTTACTTTCAAGTCTGGTGGTTGATGAGGGGCTATCACTGAGAGACCAGCCTGGCCTCTGGGCTGGAATACTGATATGTGCACTTTCCACATGGCCTGGGCTTTCTCACAATATGGTAGCTGGATTTCAAGAGTGAGCCTCCCGAAAAAGAGCCAGGCAGAAGCTGTGTCAAATTTTTATAACCAAGCCTTGGAAGTTACATACCATCACTTATGCCACACTCCATTCGTTAGTGCTGTCACAAATCCCCTCCCACATTCAAGGAGAGGGACCAGACATAGAGCCCATCTCACTGTGGGACCGCGTTGGTCACACTTCAAGAAGAACAAGAGGAATGGCATAAATATATAGGCAGGACCATCTTTGGAAAGTACAATCTGCCACACAACAGTATGCACCAAACTGAATTTTTAGTTTCACACAAACCTGCGCCTTCTCTTTTGTTTTCTACATCAGTGAATGGAAACAATTATCAATCCAGTTGCCCAAGCCAAAACGTTGGCACCATCCTTGACAGCTCCCTCTCCCTCATCCCCATTCCAGTAAATCACCAGGTTGGGTCGATTCTGATCCTTTGATAGTGCCTAGATTCATTCACTTCGTATCCCCTCTGCCAGTACCTAAGTTCAGACCACCATCCCCTTCTAAGTGCCAAGATTGTCCTAAATAGTCTCCATGTCTCTGATCCTACCTCGCTTAGCTCTTTCCCCATACTCTAGCTAGACTGATCATTCAAAAACAAAAGTGGGATCAAGTCATCAACTTGAAAGCCTTTAATGGACCCCAGCTATCCCCAGGGTGAAGTCTAAAGCCCTTCATAATTTTTCAATATCTTATGTGATTTGAGAGTTCTGACTTTATCTCTTAGCATTCCTCTCACACACCACGCTCCAGCCTTATGGGCTGTCTCATCCCCTGGGCTTTGTAAATACTCAGCTACTTAGGCCCTTCCTTTCTGTTTCTCTTTCCCCTGAACCTCTGCCCAAAATACACACACATACACACACACACACACACACACACACACACACACACACAGATTTTTCTCCTTTCCCTAGCTAATTCCCATTCATCTTTTGGGTTATAGCATGGATGTCACTTCCTCTAAGAAGCCTTTTTTAATTAACCCAAACTTATATTAGGTCGCCTCATCTTTATTCCCATTGCATCCTGTATGAGATGGCTAGTGCTGCATAACAAATAACATCAAAACTTAGTGTTTTAAAACAACAACAATATACTATTGGCTGAGAGTCTAGGGATCAGCTGGCAGCTCTGCTGATTCATCCTGGGCTTGGATGATCTTAACTGGGCTCTTCCATGTGTCTGTAGTCAGCAGTAAGTTGGCTTGTGGCTGGTCCTGACTGGGCTCTCTCACATGTCTGGGGCCTAGGCTGGCAGACTTGCCTCTGCTTCACATGACTTCTTATCCTCCAGCAGGCTTTGTTGTGTTACTAGTTGCCATCAAGTCGATTCTGACTCATGGCAATCCCAAGTATGGAGAGTAGAACTGCTCCGTAGGGTTTTCAAGACTGTAACCTTTCAAAAGCAGATCGCCAGCCCTGTATTCTGAGGTGCCTCCAGGTGAGTTCAGACTGCCAACCTTTCAGCTAGTAGTATAGTGCTTAACCATTTGTGCCACCAGGAATAGTTTGCTTGTTTGTTTGTTTGTTTGTTTCACATGTCAGAGGCAGGTTCCCAAGAACAAGCAAAAGTTTCCAAGGCCTGTTGAAGTCTAAACTCAAAACTGGCACAGCATTACTTCTGCCACATTCTATTAAAAAAATTAGCCACAAGGCCAGACCAGATAAAGAGCAAGAGTATTATTAAAAGCAAAGATGTCACTTTGATGATTAAGGTATGCCTAACTCAAGCTATGTTCTTTTGGAACAATAATAAAAGGAAGATTGAATAAGAACTGATGCATTTGAGTTGTGGTGTTGGACAAAATGGGACAAATCATGAGACAGAATATTCTTTGCCTGAACCAGGGCTTCAAACCAGTTATTTTGGGTTCAATCATGGCCAATGAAGTTACTCTGGAGCAGACCTGAATTTTTTAAATTTGGGTGAACCAGATCCATTACCAGAATGGGAAAAATTAAGCCCTGCCAGAAACTTAATCACCCTCTTAGAAATAGTGGTGACCCCCTCAAAGACGGCAGCTGATTACTGTCCATGCCCTTTCAAATCCTTTCTGTTCTTGTCCAATACAGCACATCTATTTTATAATGGCCTATGAAGAAGCTACCATTTTTCACTAATTTGGTAGTTCATAGTTTGTCTGATTTGTCTTCAATTTCATTGATTCTCTCTTCAGCTGTGTCTAATCTGCTATTAAATCTGTCTATGAGTTTATTAGATTTTTTTCATTTCTAGATATTCTATTTGGTGTTCTTTTAAATCTGTTAGGTTACTTTTTGTAGTTTATTATTCTCTGAAGATTATTTCAACTTGTGTTTTTTTCCTTTATGTGGAGTAAGTGGTGTTTTTTTTTAACATCTGTCTCCGTCACATGTTGATTTCTGCTGGTTTTTTGCTTATGCTGCTTTACTTCCTTGTATGCTTACTTATTTTTTACTGAAGAATGCTTATTTTTCTTGAAATATTAGTTATTGGCATTCTCTAAGATCTAGGGTAGAGATACATTTTGACAGAGAGAATTGATGTTTGTTTCTATACAGACAATAGTGGACTATCCAATCCTGATATCTTTAAGTTTTTTTTGTTTTTGTTTTTGTTTTTTAACTCCTAAAGTATGTGATAGTCTCTTTTAAGCATGCAAATTCTTATGAGGTCAGTTTGTAGATACAACTTTTTTTAAGATAATTTTTCCCGCATCTGAGAATCAACGAAACTTTTCTTGAAGACTCTGTAGCAAATACAGAGTTGAATTATTTCTGGTTCTTATTCATCTTAAGGCTGAACCCTTTGTGTACCAGCTGAATGAGTGAAGGGTCTTCTGTTAGACTCTCTGCTTTTAATTGACTCTTAGACTTTCATTTTCATCTGTTTCATTCAGTGAAGCTATCAAAACTTAAGTTCAAATTTTCCTGAATACGTAAATATCCTCAAGGCAAAACTGACTTCAGTTCTTTTTTTTCCCCCTCTGGATTCCAGTTTTCCCTTAGATTTTGGCCTCATAATTGCTTGCTCTCTTGTATCTTCATAGCTGTTAAAAAAAGGTTTTTGTTTCTATTCTGATTAACATTTTAGTTGTTCTCTGCCAGAGTTACTCGATTTCTATTTGGTATATTTTGAAAATTTTAAATTATTTTCAAAAAACATCTTTGATGCTGCCTAGACTAGGTCCTGTGTCTGGATAACATGAAAATTTTACTGTCAATCTCTTGGGGAAAATAGCCAATCAAAGTCTAAAAATGAAGTGACTCATTTGTTACTTGGGCACACCCTACAGCCTTGCTCACATATCCCAGTTGAAGTAGCAATTAGATCAGGAAATATCAGATATAGACAACAAAAGCTCCCCCTATAATCTAAAGACCGTTAAGTTGTCAAATATATGTATGATATCCCTGTAAGCTAAATTTAGTACTTAGAGCTCCATTTTCTCTCTGATATGTGTAAAATCTCATCTAGCCTGACCATTCCCTGTCGGCTGCACCTCTGAGAAGTCAATTATTCTAACCAAAGCCAATTTTAATTTACGCATCCTAAATTACTCCCAAATTTCTTACGTGAGTTTTTTATAGAAGGTCTAATATACAACTTAGGGCCTAATAGCTTTCAAAACAGCAATATAAAATCTAGCTCTGAGTCACTAATTTGCCTAAGGAAACAGATGTTTTGATTACCTGCTATTTTTCAGTAAAGAATAAGTAAAAAATTGATTCCTGTTTTTTATTGTGACCCAAGGACATAGTACTGGGCCAGACACAGTGATGACAATCAATAGAGTTTGAATGAATTAATTAACTGGTGGCATATTGATTGCAAATATGGCCTTAATTATTCTCAGCCATTCTGTATCTCTGCAAAATGACCTTATAGATGTTCCCTTCAAGAGTTAGTGTCTCTTCCCCACCCTTGAATACGGGCTGGCCTAGTGATGGGCTTTAGCAAACAGAGTGAGGTTACTCCATTATTCCAGTTCCCAGACAAGGCCTCTATTTCTTAGAAACTTCAAACCACCTGAGAACAAGCCCATGCTACCCGCTAGAGGACAAGAAACTTCATGGAGCAGAGTTTACCTCACTGACCCAGCCAAAGCACCAGATATTTGAGAGCACCGAGCCAAAATTAGCTAAGCTACACAGCCAACCTGGAGCTGGCCATGGACACATGAGTGGGCCCAGCCAAGGTAGCC